AGTTAATGTTTGCAAGTTATGTTTAATGTTCTTATTTTCCCTCACGCGGAGTTGAACTGCATTGTTCTTAAGCTGCAAATGTGTGTGCTTTGTCTGGAATCTGGTTTTAATTCATTCGCACCTTTTACTGAAGCCAGCCATTATCTGCAGATTTACTTACATGTAATTCCTGTGTGCTTATATATTTTAGGCCTATAGATATGTGCAAATATTATGTAACGTTACAATAATCTTAGAATAATTGTTGAAGATTCTACAGAATTCCAGTCGAAATTATTGATCAACTTTGTCGACTTTCAAAAAGCCTTCGACAGTATCCATCGTCCAACACTCTGGAAATTGCTTAACATCTATGGTTTCCCCATCAAATATATCAACATCATAAAATCTTTTTATAATGAAACACGATGCTGTGTAAGAACTGATTCCGGCAATTCTGACTGGTTCCCGGTGGAAACAGGAATGAAGCAAGGCTGTGTCCTATCGCCGATGCTTTTTGGTATAGCAATCGACTGGGTCATGCGCAAGTGCATAAATAACGCAAATTTAGGCATTACATGGGTTGACAAAATTCTGGAAGACCTAGACTTCGCTGACGACATAGCACTCCTGAGTTCAGAACACACAGACGCCCAAGAAAAAATCAATCGACTCCAGAATTTCTCAGAACAAATTGGACTCCAAATTAACACCGCAAAAACAAAAATTCTAGACCTTACCAACAGTTCAGTTGATATCACGCTGAACAACAACAGCCTTGAAAAAGTCAACAGTTTCACTTATCTAGGGAGCAAGATGTCATCTACAGGAGATACCGCACCAGAAATATCATTTAGAATAGCACTGGCATCTAGTGCCTTCAATAAACTGTCTAACATCTGGAAATCAAAGACACTTAGCAAACACACAAAACTCAAGATCTTCAATTCTTGTGTGATTCCAGTACTAACCTATGGATGCGAGAGTTGGAAATCAACGAAAACTCTAGACACAAAATTAGACAGTTTTGAAAATAAATGCCTTAGAAGAATACTAAATTTCAAATGGTCAGATTTCCGAACCAATACACAAATAAGGCAAGAATCCAGGCAAGAGTATGTGTCTAATTTTATACGAAAACGCCGCTGGAACTATGTCGGCCACGTCCTTAGAATGGATAAATCAAGACTTCCTTACCAAGCCCTCATTTGGACACCACAGGGGAAAAGATCTCGTGGAAGACCAAGGGAAACCCTACGTAGAACTATCATCAGGGAAGGCTCGCTCATGGGCCACTCAAACATCCAAGACCTACAACGGATTGCAACGGACCGCCGTGCATGGAGAGTCACGACCTCTGCCCTATGTGCCGCACTCGACACAAGAGGAAAGACTAACTAACTAACTAACTAACAATAAGTGTGGCAACCCCATCTTTAAAACAGAAATACTAAACCCATCTCAAGTGCGATCAATGTTAACATATCTATATATTAGAATACATATATTAGACTTGCCGCTAGAATGTGTCTGCGAGTGCAAACATTTTGACTTGAGTGTTTACAAAGTTGAGACAGGTAAATTTGAATCAGTGTTTACAAAGTATAGATGGGTAAATTTGTGCGTGTCAGATATGTGTTAGAAATCAGGGATGCATCTAGCCGTTGAAATACTTTTGAGCTCTGGGTAGTTGCCTAGAAGTTTTTCTACATGCGCAAACAGGGGCAAATCTAAGTGTCTAACAATAATGAAATCCTCTAGACAAACAAAACGCTGCATTCTAATTTAAATTATGGTGTGCAGGTATAAAGGGCACGACCAGGAAAAACAACAATTGCAAGCATTAATAATGAAAGAAAATTTAAAAAAAAAAAAAAAAAAAAAAAAAAATTAGTGAATGTATTTTTTGAATTAGGAATTGACATCACAGCACTCGTGACACTCCCATTAGTGCTCAGTCCCCATCTGCAGCAGCAAGCGAAGATTTCCAAATCCGATGGCACCAGTAAACGTATGACTGTATATCTGTCTCATCCTTCCCCTGAGTGTTGAGCGTCAGCAAGATCTCCTGGTAACTTCTCGCAGCGCCATTCTCCTCAGACCGTAATGATCTACCTGCGCCTCCACACTGTTCACTCGCTCCTGAACAGCCCTCACAAAATCTTTATTGCCATACATCAATTCACAACCAAGTGACTGCTTACCGTCTCAAAGAGTCAGATGGACAAACTAAAGCGCATACAAAACGCAGCTTTGCGTGTAATTATAGGCGCACCAGCGACACCCCAGTGGTGTGTATGGGATACATTCTTGGTTTGCCGACGGTTGCAGGTAGGCCCAAGGTGCTGCATGTGTAGGCATATCTCAGGGTAGATGCAAACACAGACAACCCTTTGCACAAAGCACTGGGTGCAATTGAGGGCAGCGGCTGATAAGAGGAAAGTCATGGACGGCTCAAGAAGAAGACATAGTTATTCAGGTTTGCAACACTAAGAACATTAGGCGAAGAGAGGAGTGGGTCAGAGTACTACCTGAGCAGTCAGACTTGTGTCTATATAAAGTGGCTTTATTCCAGGGCACATGTAAATAAAAACCTGAGTAGTGGGTACTACGGTCAAAACAGACTCTTCAGTTACTGATAAAGACATAAATGAAATGACACAGTTTTAACAGTTTTGAAATGCCTGAGCAGGTGTAGAGATGTAAAGGAGCGTCTGTTGTAAGGAAGCGGGATAGTAAATTAGAATTTGCTGTAAGTAAATGGAGAGATAGAATCCCATAGTAAGAAAGCAGAAAGATTAAGCACAATCAGTAGTTAAAATGTTGGTTGCGTATTCGTTATACGATGTTGCAATCGAACCCCTGCATTTTGTGATTGTTGTGGTTTTTCTAGGTAAATTTTACGCTTAGTAGTTTGCCACTGATTATTTAACGGTCGAATATCGATACCGCTGTCTAAACCGACTCAAGGCAAACAATCGACTGCAGCTGGGATCGAACCCGACACCCCGGCTTATGAAGCGCGTCCGCTACAGACGCAGACCAATCAATAGTAGGAAAGCGAACAGTTTAAGTGCAGTAAGGGAAGGGGGGGGGGGGAGAGTGAGGTCAAATACAACCAGTAGTGAGGAAACTTGAGATAAAATATAATCATTAGTTAGGAAACAGAAGATCAAATACATCAGTAGCAAGAAAACAAGAAGAGCTTTTCACTATCGTTAGGAAATAAACAGGATAATCAAACAGAATCAGTAGTAAGGCAATCAACAGTAAGGAAACAGGAAGATCAAACAATCAGTAGCAAGGAAACATGAGATCAAATACGGTCAGTAGTAAGGGAACAAGATTTCTAAGTAGTTAGAAAGCAAGAAGATCAAGTTCAGTCAACAGTAATGAGGCTGGAAGATCAAATACAATCAGTAGTAGTGAAACGGGAGATCAAGTACAATCAGTAGCAGGGAAACAGGAAGGTCAAATATAATTAGTAGTTAAAAAAAAAAAAAAACTAAGGGTAAGAAAGCTTAAATCACAGCATCCTTCATTAAAGCTAGCACAGCCTTTTGAAGTAAGGAGAAGAAACACAGTTCATATCATTGTCTAATACAATATATATTTTTTATAAAAATATGCTTACCTTATGTAAACATACGATACAATAGTGCATAGTGCTGCTTATGGACCGACTACTTCTTTTCTTTACTCCTGGAATGCCTTGAACGAATGAATGAATGAACGAACTTAATTTTCAGAGGGTCACAAATTGGTCCTTCCAAACACCCGTCTTCCACACTGTAGCTGTATAATGAATATCCAGAAAAAAATAAAAAACACAACAGCTTTGGTGTTAAAATGCATGTACACACTATCGCACGTACACACACCCACCCAGTCACTCAAACACGCATTTATACATACCCACATACCTTCACATACACACACATAAACACACCCCATTCACCCACATACATACCTACCTACCCACACAGACACGCACATTCCACACACATACATATACACACATGCACACAGACACACATACAAAAACAAACGTAGACACACACACAAGCAGCAATAACCGCACAGACCCAAACACATACACAGAGATACACACACAGTCACACACATGCGATACACACAAAACATGCACAAACACACACAGACACACACACAAACAAACACATATACACAGTGGCAGACACACACTCAGATACACACACGCTGATACTCACGCAGACACACCCCCCCCCACACACACACACAGACACACAACCACATATATACACACGCAGACATACATACACACAGGCACGCACACATATACACGCATGCACACACCCACAGACATGCAAACACAAACACATACGCGGACGTACATTCACACACACACACACACACACACATATTTAGAAACACTCAGAGACAATACACACACAGACATATACACACAGACACACACCGAGACATACACAGATATTTACACACAGACGCTCATGTACACAGGCATTTCGCGCAGGCACACATACACACACATGCACATACAAACACACACACACACACACAAACACAACAAAGAGACACACGCAAGCACACACACACAGCCACCTACAAGTAGAACAAACATCCATGCAAACACATTTAGAGACACATGCAGACATACACACACAGACAGACATACACAGACATATACACACAGAAATACAGACATACACACACAGACACATTTTAGTTCTAAAAAGTTATGGCTGTATCACCACTGCTTGACCTAAGTCTTGTTACAGAACTTGAGCGCATATACGTTTCACAGATGTCTTTTTCGTATGCAGACTGTTGGTTTCTCGATCATACGCAGATACACCTCTAATTAGCCGACTTTTACTCATTAGGGGGCAATGGGTGTATTCATGTTTTTGTCTCTCACAATGGGTTCTCGAAACCCACACGAAGACCCCACCCATTGAATGATGTGAAGCAGAAATGGCTGGAGATGCTGAATAAACAGGATCTTCATTGCTTTGTTACAGGTGTACTGTGCCGAGGCCAACAGCCCCTCGACCTCTACAACCTGCCGAGGTTTTTACCAACAAACACCAATTTCACCTACAAGGTTGGACAGGTGGCTGTACTGGAGTGTTCCATAGAGAATCTGGAAGATAAAAAGGTAAGTTAAATTGTAATCCGTTAGATAGTGATATATTATGACTTAAGTTAGTTAGTCGAACAAATTATCCCCATTGCACATCGAACCGTTAGGTCCCCAAGTGCACGGATCCCTTCCTCAGTAAATCCCGCAGAATGCAGCGGCTGACGATACCAGTTTTGGTTTCCTATTCTTCTCTGTAAGACTTTCAGGCAATATTATTCAATACATAGGAGCCGGAATGTGTGAGCTCAGATACTTTGTTGTCATATCCTAGTATGTTTTGACAAAAGAGAACTTGGTCTACCCTAATTTTTCAACCCCTCTTCTTAGCAACTTTATGAGAATCAGCGAAGAGACTGCTGGCTTCTGTTCCACAAGCTTATCTCCGAGTTGGCGGTAGAAAGTTACACAGCTACCCGTGATACCGTCCATCACCATGTTAGCAGGCGGTGTCTGTCTGTGAATGTTATACGTGAATTTACTCTGCACGTTGTGGCATCTAAAGTCATCACATTTTCTTTGGCTAAATATACTAATTGTCGATCAATCTGTTCTTAGTTATATGCAATGAACAGAGGAAGGAAATAAGCAATATATGGGTGAATGAATAAAAGTACGAAAAAGGATTTTAAAATAGACATTTCTACATTCGAAAAATTCCAATGTATTCTCTTTTCTTCTTCATGGCCAACACAATATAATCTTGCTAAACGTGACAGCCTGAAACATGAACGTTAATGACATCATACTATAAGGTATAACATTACATTCCTAGTCGGTGACGTGATCACTGTTACAGCGTTACTTTCTAAACAAATGTATAAGTATCAGTGTAAGGCTTGGTCAGCTTTAGAGTTTATAAATATTTGTTTAAAAATTCGTCTTCAATGGGAAGTTGAAACAGAAGACTACTGAGGCGCTGTGCTAACCATGGCTGCACTCAGATTGCCCACATTTATTATTTGATGTATTATTTCAGCTGGTAGGCGAGGAGTCCGTTAAAATCTTTAAGTCCGGTTCACTTCTGTGAACGGTTTTCTAATGCAGTTTCCATACATGGCCTGGGGTCTATGGCTTCCTTGCGAAAAGTATTAAGTTGAGTGCGTGGTGTTTAACCATGAGAACCCTGTGTGTCGTGCGTATTGACATTTGTCTGTGAAGCCGCCGGATTATGTTGTATTTTTAGAAAATGTCGAATTGCCAGTCTACTTTAGGGCTAACGATGCACCTTACGCAATAAGATTGAGTGTGAACTGCTGCCTTGCCGTGGATGACTACTTCTAGCAACAACGAACTGCAATTCTTCAGCATCTCTAGTAACCGCCTAATGTTTTACTGTGTATTTATGCTTCTGAATTGTGCTAAGTATAATCGCAGGCAGCCTTTGCTTCCATGGAGATAAACTATACCCACTTCAGGTTGGGACCATCTCGAAACAAGATCAATTTGAAAAAATTCTACCTCGACACCGATTCGAACCCAAAACCATAGGTCCGACAGACCAGCGTCTAGCCGGTCGCTGCCAGTTTTCATGAATGTGTTAGCTAACTTGATAATGTATTAAGTGTGTGTTACTTGTGAGATTTAATATTAGTTTTCAATTGACATAGTGAAGAGCAGTTGGTGTAATTTCCACTGCCAGGAATTGGACAACAATAGACCGACCAGGTTGCAGTGAAAATATAACCTCCACTACCAACTGACGATCATTTTTTTAACGTAACATTTACTTAACATCGTCTCACCTAACAATGTCTCAGAATCTTAAAATGACAATGTACAGCAACATTTGTAAACAATATTTATTGAAGATTATGTCTGGACTGGTGATTCCTATTGTCTATTTGTGTGTTTATCTAGCCCGTACCTTGTCCGTCAGGGCAATTGTGTAAATATTCGCTTGTGATCTGTGTAAGTTTTTCTCATCTACATTTGAGACATTGTGTTTGTTTGTCGGCGTCTTGATGTATTGATTTATGATGCTTCACATAAACGGACGTATTTTATAAAATATTTTATATTTATCTTTCCGCGAGTGTAGATATTTGCAAAGTTTATCGGTCAGTGGAAACTGCACTTTATTATTTATTTGTTTCTGTTTTTCGCATTGGCGTTGCAGATGGAATAGAAGGCTAGCTAAGAATCTGTTCCGTGTTCAGATTAGTATTGTGTAGATTGTAGAGGCCCTAATTTATATAAACTATCTAACATGCTCAACGCTGATGTAAAACTATTACTGCTTTAAGGAGCGAAAACCTGAAGAACAACGAAACAATTACAAATAACAACACACTTTAATAACTAGTGCCTTTGCTGAAAAGAGCGAATTACAGAGTATAATAGAATAACTAATGCTTTAATTTGTAGAGAGAACGAAATAATCCCAGTGAGTTAAGAGGTGAGGAAAAGACATTGAGGCTGGAAAGGACACGCGCTGAGAGCAATATAACTAGAAGGGCTTTGAGCTGTAACCCATAAGTGCATGGTAATAAAGACATACCCAAAAAACACACGAAGAAGGGAACAGTGAGGGGTGTTCAAAAATGGGTAAGGCATGGGATGAGTAGCATTCGATAGCTAAGTATAGAACGACCTGGTGTGAGTTGGTTGAGAGCTATGCTGAAGTGGGGGGGGGGGGCAGAGGGAGTGGGGGAATCCAACTCTCTGTAGGTTATCTAGACAATATCATGCTGGCAGCCGTCACTGTAGATGCTTTTTTTTTTTAAATAAGGGTGTCTATTTTAAACTCGCTAGGCTGAGAAAAACCTCTCTTGATGGTGACTCTGACAATATGGATGCATGGCTTGGCAGGTCAACCTCGCTGTCGCAACTCTTGTGCATCTTACGGAAAAGAGTAAACAAATTTACTAACCCCTTGGGGACCTGTGATGCCAGACACATTTTTGTGAAGCCATATCAGTGCTCAAGACTGATGTCAGCATTGCATCGACAGCTTTTACATTCCGGAACTTTTCGAACGTACCATTTGTTGATTCTTAAAGCCCAGGTTGTGTGTTACAAATCCTCTTAAAAAAAAAAAAAAAAATTGAACCATTGACAACTGGACACGCACTCATGCAATATGCAATATTCTGTTGCAGGACCCAAGTTTTGGTATACATTAGAAATTGTGGAAGTGGAGGAATGTATACACAAATGTTGCATTCTTGTGTATGTCTTTTATTTCCTCACCCCTCTCCCCTCCCCAAACCCCCTTTTTTTCGGTTTCTCCATTATAGAATTAGCCGTTTTATAAGCTTTCATTTTGCTGGAAATCTGTCACATCTGAAGAATTTTCTAAAGCAGCTCGGAAATTGTTGTTTGAATATATCCCAGTGAGCCCACTTCATGTTTCCTATGACTGTATCCTTGAGGTATCAATGAACAGCGCCCACCTCACGATCGGTGTCAATCAGATGTCTGTTTGAGAAATTACTGCTCCCACGCTATACGCTTTCTGTAATTTATCGATTCTGGATATATATGTAACTGCTGGTTTGCACATGTCCGTGTATGATTTAAATGCATTAGGGTCGAAATGATTTTAACTGCCATGTGAACCCAGCCTGCAATGGGTGCTTGGAATATGCTGCGAAGTGAAGACCAGCCACTATGATGTTAACTACTCACATATCGAGAGCCGATTAACCTAAATCTATACTGGTCGAACATAGAATTCCGGATACGCAAATGGTGTGAAGGTTCGCAGTTTCCATGTCTCAAGGTATTTTTCTTTACCGTATTTTCACACGGTTCTATGGTATGTTGTTCATTCATCACATAGGGCTCACTGTCTGTTTTTCCACTCAGTGATATCATGGGCAGTCGTTTTGATATCATGGATTGAATTTAAAATAGCATCTGTGACCTTTTTCATTACCCTTCGTGCAAGGGTTTTCATTACCCTTTGTGCAAGGGTATCTCTTGTAAGTTCTCTTCTTCTTTGCCTTACCAATGAATGGTTCAGTACTGGTATTGTACTTTTGTTTAAAGTAGGAAACACAAAGAAGCAGACTGATTGTAATCGTCCTGCTTCTTAGCACTTATCGACTGTAAACTCCGACAGAAAATTCTGGCTTTGGACACAGAACAAAGCAACCTAAATTAATCGTCTTTTAGGACATGCGTGATTAAGAGTGGTGGACAGTGAGTCTATTCATTTCACCCCAAAATGTAATACCATTTTAAAGGCAAATTATGGCATTATGATAAATAAATGACTAATCTAAACACGGCAGTTGGTAAGCGGCATAAACATTGTTCTAGCGAATGTAGAATGTTGAAATATGAATCGACATCACAGTACTCATGAGACTCACATAAACTATCCGTACCCATCTTCAGCAGCAAGTGAAGAGTTCCAATTCCGACGGCACCGGTATCTGTCTGATTGAATATCAGTCTCGCATTTCCTCTGAGTGTTGAGTGCCGGCCAGATCCCCTTGCAACTCATTGCAGCGCCATTCTCATTAATGACCCTGATAATCTATCTGTGCCTCCGCTCTATTATGTGCTATCGTTGCTTTTGCTGCTCTGTAGCTGTGGATGGATAAAGCAGATGCATGTAAGTAATAAGAACTTCGCACATGAACAATCATATAAAGTCTTCCAATCATCTATCGTCAGAAGCGGCCCCCCTTTGATCCTTCTCTACACTCTCAGTGAGGAGTGCAGCGGGGCCATAAATCATTGTTAACATTCTATGTATCTATATATTTCTGTTAAGTCTTCATGTTTTACCAGAAGCCACCCACTTCCTCATGCTATTTATCTCTATCGTTACTAAGCAGGTTGTCTGGCGTTTGGCCTCTGATTCACCCCCCATCAGCGTGGGTTACATGTCGTTCAGTGAAGACCCCCGGTACTCGGTGGAGCATGACAACGGCGGCACCAAGTGGAACCTGGTGATTCGTGACGTTCAGCTGAAAGACTCTGGTGTCTACGAGTGCCAGGTTAGTTCACGGATGAGGCATCTACGTCATCACGTGACTCTCATGGTTATAGGTAAGTCACTTGCAAACACTGTTGCTTATATTATGTGTCTAAATAGAAGTAGAAAATAAATGGGGGGTGGGGGGGGGGGGGGCGGGTAAAGTAGTAAGTAGTAAATGTATGACACCATAGTGAAACTTGCTGAGTTGTATTACGGGTGTAAAGTTTAAAACACTTTATATATATATATATATATATATATATATATATATATATATATATATATATATATATATATATATATATATATATCATTGACACCTTTATGTCTGTCTGTTATGTTGCACTATGAGAAGTCAAGGGCATTACAGCCCATGGCGATGGCGTTAATAAAACTCTTAAATGTGCATGGGAATTCGGGACCGTTATTTTCGACATTTGTGTTTAGTCTGTTTCTTCTCTTACGCGCAGCTCTCATCCTTTCTAGAAAAGATATAAACCCGAACGAAAAGTATATGGGCAAGCTTCACAAAATAGCAATTACAAACAAAACGTGAACGTTGCAGCTATTGAGCCTTCATCGGCACACACACACACACAAACAATACTACATAGATACAAAAAATCACTTAGCTAGTATCACGATGCGGCCAGGGCGGTTGTTACTCAGCAGAATGACCGCACGTGTCAGCTGAGGGAATGAATACCCACCCGTGGAGTATTAGGGGCCATAAATTGGGTACAGGGGTTACAAATGTGAGGGCAGTTCAATCCCCTAAAAGTTTAAATGAAACTGTGTTGGCAATTCATTCCAGAGGGCGTCAAAGACCCCAGAGTAAGTATAAATAAAGCGATTCTCAAGAGACTTGCGGACTCTGAACCCGTCGGCCAACCGAAGACCTGTTTCACCAATGTTTTAATGCTACATCTCTTGCAATTGATAGCAAAAATGACATTGCGGCTGGTACAATAGAATGCTTCACGTATGTGGAAGGTGGCGTTAGGGAATTCTAGACAGGCCACCTGAACCACATATGCACAGGTTCTGCATACAGGTCTATGGCAAGAGACCGTGCCGAAGTGGGGCTCAGACGCGGGGCGTAACCTACTCTTGACTAGAATGTCCTTGAGGTTATGATCATGCCTGTAAGCCACTAAAGGAGGTTCATAGAAAATCGTGCTGGTGGCAGGGTCGGCTTTAAGGATGGAGAGATGCCTAAGGAAAATATTCTTGGCGCGGATGTTTTGAGGGTGGTAGGTAAGTGTGAGGATAGGTCTGTTGGTGTGACGTTTCGGCTTGGAAGCGAGAGCTTCGGCACGATGGAAAGACCGTGCGCGGTGAAAGGCGGCCGATACCCTCAAAGCCGAAAGAAGTCTAACATTTCTAGGGCCTTGTTGTGAAAGTCGTCGTTCTTCTGGCATAGTTTGCGGAGGCGTAGAAGTTGGGAGAACGGAATAGAGTCCGTGCAAGAAGAGGGATAGAAGGATGTGTAGAGAAGAAAAGCGTAAGAATCAGTAGGCTTGTAGTACACCGAGGTGCTAAGGCCCATAGAATTCACGATGACTGTGAGATCCAGAAAATGCACCGACGAAGATGAGATGCTAGAAGTGCATCGGATGCTGGGATGAAAGTTAGAGAGAAAAAATGAATAAAGTTCTGCAGCTCCTGTAGGGGCATATCGGTTACACCGATGCAATCATCGATATACCTCCTGTAGAGCTCGGGGAGCCTACCGATATATGCATGACTTATCTGGTGCTCGAGGTGCCCCATGAAGAGGCAGGCATAGCTGGGTCCCATCTTGCTCCCCATAGCGACACCGCTAATCTGGTTGAAATACTGGCCATTAAACTCGAATGAGTTTAGAGTAAGCACCAGCTGCCCCAGACGAATCAAGGGGTCAGTGGCTATGGTAGGACTGACTCTCTGATCTAGAAAGAACCCCGCAAAGCCTGGAGGCCGAGTGTGGAATAGAGGTGTAGAGGGAGGTAACATCTAAGGTGAAGATGTGGTACCTGTAAGAAGAGGTGAACTGGATAGACTGAAAGATAGAGATGGCATGGTTGGTGTCTTTGATGTAAGACGGGAGATCAACGACCAGGGGCTGCAGAATACGGTCGATGAATCCGGATATGAGCTCTGTGGGACAGTCACAGGCGGACACGATCGGTCTACCTGGGTTGTCCGGTTTATGTATCTTATGAAGCATATAAAGGCCAGGCTTCCATGGAAAGCATGTGAAGGCCAGGCTTCCCCAGACAACTGTCCTCGACAAAAAAGAGCTGGCCCTGGCTGGCAAAAGATCTTCCTAGATAAAGGTTTGAATTGTACTTTTCACTATTATGTTGTTTTTTACCGTAACATCCTGTGTCTGGGGTTCCTGTGTCATCCTTTCTAGAATCATTTCTTCCTTCATTCTCTTTCCGATACGCCCCCTCCACACAAAACGGTCCATGGCGTTTCGTTTCCACAAGACCTCCTCGAAACATATATCATTTATGTCCAGCGTGCACACATTGTGATATCGTAGTATAGATCTTTTTGACATCTTCTAGCGCCTCTAATTCACCATAGAGGATGCCCTTAAGGACTCCTTCATTCTCCAGTTGTGACCTAGCCACCTGAGCCGTTGTAGACTGAGCAGTGAGGTGACTCTCGTAATCAATGATTTTTCAAGTACCTCAGCATTTGTGATCTTTTCGTGCCACATAATGGTATATGAGGGTGTGTGTGTATGTGGGGGGGGGGGGGGCGGGGAGTTTGTGCGCGCGCGCTAAAACGTATAGCTACTGAAAGGAACATATTTTTTGTATTAAATTTGAAATTTAAAGTGTGTGTAATTTAATTCGCGAAATTGTATATTTTGCACACAAGAATACTTTAGAGTTCAACCAATTGAGGAATTTTTTGCATCTGGATCTACAATACATTTTATGCGGACAGATATACACGTCAGCTGGGGGAGAAAAAAAACACACCATCGGAATAACTATACGTTGTTTTTAATAACAGTGTCTCTCTGTACTATCTGTTTGTCTGTACTGTTAGTCTGTCTGTCAGTCTCTATACTGTCTGTCTGTCTTAACTTTATGTCTGTCTGTTCTGTCTGTCTGTTCTGTCCATCTACCTGTTCGCAAAACTTTTTATTAGATAGTGTCCTCTCTTCCGTACATGTTGAAGCATTCAAAGTTCACAGATTTGATGATAATTTCTTATACTGTTACTCGCTGTGTTACTCAGACCCTTTTTTGATATTCCTGTCGTTTCAGGTCTTGTTAGCAACATTCTTTCAAGTTTTCGAATTCATTCTGTAGACATCAAATTTTCTCACACATGTATTGTCAGCTGTTCCTATGTCTTTAATAATGAACCCATATACCATGGAGTCTACGTGATTCAGTGATTACATTGCGCTCTGACTAAGGAACGCTTGCATGGTCTAGCAAAGGGTATGGGCTTGTGATGATTTCTAGGATTATATTGTTTTGTTTATGTTATATAGAAAAGTGAGAAAGTAAAGATCCCTATTCAAGCTTTAGGCGCATCGGGCATATGGGAAAAGTGTCCCATATTTTTACAGACCAATCAGCACTGGGTGAGTAATGTAGTCATCTTTACACTGACCGTCTTTACTTCCCATGACAGTCATCCTGGTACCCATTTTAAGCTGGGTGGACCTGCGACGCCCCATAGCATGATAAAAATTCACGATGCTTTATATAAGATTATAAATATGACTACATTTTTTGGGAACCTTTTCGTCTTTTCAGACGATTTTGCTATATTGTGTAATATTCGCACACTTACTGCAACTTTCACGTGTTGTCCGCACAGCTCATGAACACTCCAGGCTTATTAAGAACTAATCAGATAACTTTGTACGCATAATCATTGATCACTACTTCTCTAAATGAAAAGTTGTCTTCATCACTCTTGATGGACGAAAAACATTGTGTAATGGAGAGGCATGGGAATAAAAGCCTTCTATGGCCATGGAAAAACAACAATAACACAAACAATAACGACATTGCAAATCACAGCCCATATTTCATGATGGGATGGTAAGAAAGTCGGCTCTGTGGCTAAGTTGATGCGAACGCTTCGAAATACCGGAATGCCGGGTTCGATCCCAGCTGCGGGCCATGCGCCTTGCGTTGGTACCGACAGTGGTATCAAGAAAGCCGACCGTCCAGTAAGCAATGGCATTTACTGGACGTAATGCCTAGGAAACCTACACAACAGCCAGGAGCTGTTGGGGTTGGTTCTGCAACGTCCTGTAAAGGAAACGCAACTAACCTTTTAACAATGGTAAGAAAAGATTATGAGATAAAGTGATACACAATAACATTTTTATGCTAAAAAGTAATTAACTATACACACCGTTAATTATATCAAGAGTATCAAGAGCTTGAAATAGTTCATCAGGAGATGGAATATTGTATCGTAGATATTGAAATAATTCAACAGACTTCGTCGACATAACAGCTGGAACTTTTCTGGCAGGGACAAAAAAAAAGTCTAGGTGGGTGAGAATGTTCTTAACTGTATCACTGTCAGAGGAAGACAATAGAACTGGATACAATGGCATTCATAAGGCGACACTTGTACCACAACACAATATCGTTAAGACGAACTTGCTTAAAGAAAACTCTTGGTTAAAATGAACGTAATTGTGTCCCAGCAAGGATGAATTAATGGTAGAACTAACGTTTTAACGCTAATTATTGATTTGTTTCCGCTCCCTTGTATCCGTGTTAAAAATATGCGAGTATTACGAGAATTTGAAAATAAGCCCCATTTTGAATTCAGAAGTGGTATGTGAAGTAAAGATGCACTCTTTACTTTAGACAACTAACTGACAGAAAGGGAAAGGATGAGACAAATAACAAGGATAATTGCAGGAATTCTCAGCATAGACACTGACCTTACGGGTCAATCGTATGTCGTTAGTCACACTCGTTGCAGACAGGCATTGACATCATCTCATTTGAACGGCTTCGCTAAGTATCATGTTATAGTCATTTCATCAGCTATTGTCTACACCAGAGATTCTCAAACTGTCCAGTAGTCT